AAAGCCATAAGTTGGGGGTAACCGGCTTATGACTTATGGCTGATTTTAGCTTATAAGCACTTGTCTTATAAGCACTTTGAGTGTTTACCAAACGCGTAGATAAGCCAAAAGGTACTTATAAGTTAGTTTGACCAGCTTATAAGCTTAGCCAAACACCCTCTAAGACTTAACTGAAAAGTGAAAATAAATCTTAACCTTTGGAATAAAGAAAGATACGTGTTAATAATCTTGATTAATATCGATATTAATCGCAGCAATATTTATTGGAGTTGAGCCGAGCCCACTTAAGTATTTTCGAAAGATATAACATTATCATACATAATCTAACTAGGAAGAATAGCATAGGTTAATCTGAACCCAGGACTCCCCTCCCACCCCTAGATTATCCCTGGGAACACCACTTTTGAAAAATAAAATTACATCAATATACTTGAGTTATTAAATATTTTTTAGTGAAAGATTTGGACACATTTGTATTTCGTTGGACAAATTATTTCCATCTTGTAAGGGTCAAGTTTATTAATAAAGTATTAGCTTTTTTAAAATTTTAAAATAAAAAATAAATGCCTTTTGAAATTTTAATTTTTTTATAATATTAAATAAATGAAAAAAGAGTTTTTGGATTATTTATGTTTATAACAAACAAATAAGATTTAAATATTTGTTATTATAGACGTATAACAGACAACAACAACAACAATAAACCCAGTAGTTTCCCACAAGTAGGGTCATCTTGTATTATAGATCCAAGATACTTGAAACTACCTCTCTTGAGGATGACTTGCGTATCAAGCCTCACCTCCATATCCCCTTCCTAGGTACCGTTGCTGAACTTGCACTCCAAGTATTTCGTCTTGGTCATGCTCAACTTGGTCCTCCAAACCTCTAGCCTCTAGTTAACACCACTAGCGTCTCGTCAATTAAAACTATGTCATCAACAAATAACATACACCATGGCACCTCACCTTGAATGTGTCTCGTCAATGCATCTATCGCCAAGAAAAATAGGAATGGACTAAGAGCTAATCTCTGGTGCAACCCCATCATAACCGGAAAGTGTTCCGAGTTTTCTCCCGCTGCCCTAACTCGAGTCTTAGCTTTATCATACATGTCTTTAATCACCCTAACGTAGGTTACCATAAAACTCAAAAGACTATAAAACAAATAAACCTGTTATAGAGAGGGTTGATGGCAGCGTAAAAAAAAAAAATAATATAATGTCGCTGCACCAAAATTAACTCAAAAATAGTACTTTATTATGTGTACCAAAAAAATAAAATTCCCCACATAGTAATTATTATTATTTCATTTTTTTAGAAGGAAAAAAAAATGAAGTAATACCACAGTATGATCATTTTTGTTTTTAATGGTCAGGGGCAGCGGGAAGAGTCCAGAACCACAACCAGACATCAGCTGGAAATGGCGTCTGCAATGATCAAAAGTAGCTTTCGCTCCGCCCTCCGCGTCGGTGCTTCTCGCGGAACTCCGGCATTCAAGAGGACTTTCGCTTCTTCCGCCCACCATGACGAAGCCCGTAAGCTCATCATCCATCTCTCTGTCTTAAATTTCTGGTTATTTACAATATACTCAGATGGCTGCCTTTCTTCGGTATTTCATATATAGTTGCTTACTCAATCTGATAATATTTTCCGTGAAGTCGAATTCCCTATTAACTATGAAATGAGCCTGAAAACGGCAGAAGATTAATTTAGCTGATCAGGACAAAAGGAGAACTTTTTGAATTCCAATGCTTAGTGTTTCCCATAACATAGGTTTGAGCGGTGATAAGACAGTTGTGGTATTTGCAAGCTCAACTAGTCACATGCCTGTTGTAGCAGATGCCATAGTACTGTCTTGATCATGTTCTCGGTTCTCTGTCAGAGTCGGATTTGGGATTTGATGTTTATGAGAGAGATAGAGCAATATTTGATTTATTATTTGCTATTTCACATGCGTTTGAGTATGTGTAAAAAGTTTTTCTTTTCAATGAAATCTTTCGATTATGTATTCCTCCCTCTATTTCAATTTATGTGACGTAGTTTGACGCAGTTTAAAAACGATATCAAAACGTTTGAAACTTGTGGTATTAAACATGCTATAACAATTTTTGTGATTATAAGGGTTTTGAAATTTATGATCTTAAAAATGTTATAATATTTTCTCAGCTATAAAAGCTTGTCACTAATGATAAAATTACAAGTTTACAATAAATTGTTTTGAAATGTAGAAATATATTATTCTTTTTGGAAAAGACTAATAAGAAAATTGTATCACATAAACTGAAACGGAGGGAATGGAGGGAGTAGTTTCTTCGAGGGATGATATTCATTTAGTCTATCTATTATTTTTCCTTTTCTTTGGTTAGTTTCAGTTGTTTGATTTCGCTGTATATAAACGATTTCTAATGTGATTGAAGTGTTAATATTTTATGATCTCTTTATTTCCTATGGCCAGGTGAAGCAGCTAAGTGGGAGAAAATTACTTATGTTGGAATAATTACATGCACTGTTCTTGCAATCGTTAATCTCTCTAAGGGTCATCCCCACCATGAAGAGCCTCCGGTAAGCTTTATATATGCATTTCTTGTACCTTCTTATATGTCAAAATTTGTGTTATTTTCAACAATATGCTGTTTTCAGTCTTTCCAATTCGGATGCAAAACTTAAGATGAAATCAGAAATTCATATTGACAATACATTTCTAAATGATTTTCACTAGCCCGGTTAAAGTAATGGGATTTGAGACACCCTTAAACTAATGATTTGATCATTTGACCAGTCAATAGCCAAAAAGCACCAAATTCATTATCAAGACAAGACCATTTTTGAATACTGCATAATTCTGAACCTACGGCATTACAAAAACTCAAGCAAATGGTACTTTGCAAGCAAAATAATGTATTCGATTCTAATGTAAAGCAATATAGTTGGTTCAGATAAGAGAATCCTGATGGAGATTCTCAGTTTCATGTAATTATCTCTGTTATAAATCTTTCAGTTGTTCCTCTTTTATTATTGGTAAACACTAAAGAAATTAGGAATTTGTCAGTATGAGAACTTCAAACAAAATAATCAGCCAATCCACTAAGATTAGAGAGAAAGAGGGGAATATGGTGCTGTGGTGGGGAAGGACAAAATGAGCTGGGCGAGAAGGGAAGTTGCAAGCTAGAGTTGAAGACAAGAAAGATAGAATAAGGTTAATTCGGTCCTTTTAATATCATCTGACTGTGTTTGTCTGTTGATTGAACAGATACTATAGGGGGCATTATTTTTCTTTTTATTTTGG